ATCTGGTTAATATGAGACATAAAAAAACTGGTTAATATGAGGCATAAAACCACTATCTGGTTAATATGAGACATAAAAAAACTGGTTAATATGAGGCATAAAACCACTATCTGGTTAATATGAGACATAAAAAAACTGGTTAATATGAGGCTTAAACCCATTAAGTTTAACTTTAGAGCAAATGACATGGTTAGTGCTAAAGACACTACCCTCCAACGATTGTATATTGTGGCCTTCCAATAGGGCAATGGGTAGTGTTGGACCAGGGAGTGGGAGACCAGGGCTCCAGACCGACACAGACATAAAAAATTTATTACAATATCTTTTGGTTATTTACACATTCATTGTCACTGATATATTAAACCACTAGGGGGCACTGTCGGGACAGTCTGAAGTCTAGAAGTCCCTTCAGAGTAGGGACCCTCTGAAGCCATTGTATGGGACTGATAACGCTTAATAACATCCATTTCATGGACTGATAACAGAATCCCCTGTAATTTCCACCCACCATGATATGCATCTTTATATTTTATGTAAACGTCTGGTTTCAAATGTATTTTAAGACCATCTGAGACATGGTATGATGTAAAAAATGTGACTTCAACCAGTGATTTAAATGTGCTTTATACAAGTAGTTGTCAGGAAAACAAGTATTAAGGCATTTTTCCTGCATGTTCCAACTTTCAAAAATATTGTGTGCTGTGTCAATAAGGGCATTTCATTAGAAGATGGCTACATATCTGTTCTCAACACAACAATGGTGCCTGAAAGCTCCTAATGTCAGCTTGAAAATAACAGCACAGATCTGCTATTTTTCACGCCAAGATTTTTGAGTAAGTTGAGTAAGTTTGAAACCAAGGTTATACAAAATCTGTGACTGATATTTTATGAACAAATAGCCTACTTTGACATTTGTACAGAGAATAAGGATTGCTCTGTCTACTCAACCTTGAAATAAAAAACAAAACATGCATTTGGACACAAATAAGTCAGAAGTGGTGCCAAATGGTAAAACTTTGCCTTTTCACCAACTCTAAATTGATGGATGTATTTTTCCTATAACATGGAGTTTTTTTATAAAGATCACATTCAGACTAAAGAAAGTCTTTGAATCAAGTCTTATTTGTGGTCTCATGACTTGTAGCGAATTACTCCATGAAATTTAGGACCAGCCTAATCTTCATAAAGATAATCCAGCAAGATCTTGCAAAAATGAAATCAGGAAATAATGAAATATCCCTCTGATCAGGAAGTGAAAGATGAACTTGTGACCTGGTCAAATTTCTCAAAATAAAGTAATTTATTTTAGATATATGAACAGAATAAACATACAAACATTCCTTAAAAATATTATATGAATAAAAACACAAGTTATAATTTTCATAAAAAATTCCACTCAGAGTTGACAAAAACAGTAAATTTCAGGTGTAATAATTCACTGGCACACTGCTTACTAAGTTTTTAAGTAAATAAGAGAGAAAAAGGTAAAGATTTTAGCTTTAAGAATAGGAGGAAGGAAAGAAATTAGTAATT